GCCAACAGTGGGAGGGCTTCTAGTGTCCTGGCCCCACTGCTGGACCTCCTGACGGCACCTGGTATTTCTGGCCACTGTGTGACACAGAGTGTTGGACTGGATGGGCCTTTGGCCTGATCCAACATTGGCTTCTCTTATGTTCTTATGTTCTTAAAGCGGTGATCGGCATTTCCCTGGGCGTGTAAGAAAGGGCCACGAGAACTAAGCACCTCCCTCTTGTGATCTGCCCAAGTTCACAGGATCCGCATTGCTGTCAAGATGTCCATCGAGCCTCTGCTCAAAAGACCTCCAAAGGAGGAGGTAAAGATAAAGGCTTACCTTGCTCGAAAGCCAGTCGAGTCCGACTCTAGGGCTGCGGTGCTCATCTCCATTTCCAAGCCGAAGAGCCAGCGCTGTCCGAAGACGTCTCCGTGGTCCTGTGGCCGGCATGACTAAATGCCAAGGCGCATTTATTGAATTTGTATCCCGCCCGTCCTGCAAGTGGGCTCAGGGTGGGTGGCATCAGCATTTCATCGATGTTACAGTCAGTGGTCAAATGTTAAAACGTTCGGGTTTTTTTTTTTTTTTTAAATTAGATTACAATTAACTTAAAATGGCGACGGGCATTTGTATGTTAGCCTCAGCAGCTGGATAGATGGTAAAGGTAAAGGTAAAGGTTCCCTTGCTTGAAAGCCAGTCGAATCCGACTCTAGGGCTGCGGTGCTCATCTCCGTTTCAAAGCCGAAGAGCCAGCGCTGTCCGGAGACGTTCCCGTGGTCATGTGGCCGGCATGACTAAACACCAAGGTGCACGGAACGCTGTTACCTTCCCACCGAAGTGGTACCTATTTATCCACTTGCAATTTCTTGCTTTTGAACTGCTAGGTTGGCAGGAGCTGGAACTAGAGACGGGAGCTCACTCCGTCATGCGGCACACTCGGGTCTCAAACTGCTTAACCGACCTTCCACAGCCTGCAGTTCAGTGTCTTAACCACTTGAGCCACCACAGCTCCTTGGATAGATGGTAGTCATGGGCAAATACAGTCGGGCATGTGATTGGACCTCCATCGCCTCCTCCGAAGGACTGCCTTTAGATACTCTACCACGGAGGGGTCCCACCATGCGAAATCTCTAAAGTTGTTCAGTAAAAAGAAACAGAGACATTGGATTGGATGCTACAGATCCTAATTGGAAGGTAGACCTTTCCCATTAGAAGGGGTTGCTCTTTCCCACCACTCTGTTCCTCCACCTTGGAGCCCGGAGCCTTCTAGACAGTGGATGCCGGGAGTCACAAGAGCCTTGTTGAGAAAGGGCTCAGGGCCCACGAAGAGGAAGGGGGGAGTTTGTGTGGCGTTGTCCATTCTTCCTTCTCCTGCCAACAGGAAGTCCATCCGCAGGAGACCAAGGAGGGACTTCTTCGCCTTGTTGCCCTTCCTCCCTCATAACACCCTTGGGCTGCGGCCATTTTGTCTACGAAGCTCCCGTGACTCCCATCAATTTTTGGAGGCCCCGGAGGGCTGCCGGGGAAATAGAAAGTCGAGAAAGATCAGCTGTTCCAGTTCGTAAGATATATTGCCCACTTGCTGCCGGAAGTGGTGGCGGCTGCAAGCACAGACAGCTTCAAGAGGGGATTGAATGAACATCTGGAGCAGAGGTCCATCAGTGGCTCTTAGCCTCAAGGTGTAGATGGAACACTCGATCTGGGGCAAGGGATGCTCTGTATTCTTGGTGCTTGGAGGGGGCAACAGTGGGAGGCCTTCTGGAGTTCTGGCCCCACTGATGGACCTCCTGTTGGCACTTGGGTTTTGGCCGCTGTGTGACACAGAGTGTTGGACTGGATGGGCTATCGGCCTGATCCAACATGGCTTCTCTGATGTTCTTATGTCTGGGGCAGTGATGCTCTGTCTTCTTGGTGCTTGGGGGAGGGGCAACAGTGGGAGGCCTTCTGGAGTTCTTGCCCCGCTGATGGACCTCCTGGTGGCACCTGGGTTTTGGCCGCTGTGTGACTCAGAGTGTTGGACTGGATGGGCCATTGGCCTGATCCAACATGGCTATTCTTATGTTCTTGTGTTTCCAATCATCTCAGACACTTAAAACATAGATCAACTGGGGAAGGAAGATTTTTCCCCATCATTCATATTATTAAATTGTTGTTGCTGTAATAGTATCTTTTTCTTGGCTTGTTCCTTTAGAACCGGAAAGAAGGAAGACGAGACCAAAGCCTACCAAAAAAGGTAAGGGCGCTGTGAGTTTCCAAACAGAGCAGATAACATAGCGCTTGTTAGATTCTTGCTTGTGTGCTTATTGTAAGCAAGTCGGACTTCCTTTGAAAAAGGGTTTATGGAGGCCTCTGCGTGAAATTTTTCATTCAAAGTTTGCATACTCTTATTATGTTAGCCAATAAACAAGTCCACATGCTGACTCCTCACTTTTTGGGTAGCGTGTGTCTTATGGCGACCCTATGAATTAATGACCTCCAAAATGTTCTGACATTAACAGCCATGCTCGGGTCTTGCAAGCTAAAGGCTGTGGCTTCCTTTGAGTCAATCCACCTCATGTTGGGTTTCCCAGATAACATAGCGCTTGTTAGATTCTTGCCTGTGTGCCTATTGTAAGCAATTCGGACTTCCTTTGAAAAAGGGCTTATGGAGGCCTCCGCGTGAAATTTTTCATTTAAAGTTTGCTTACTCTTATTATGTTAACCGATAAACAAGTCCACACGCTGACTCCTCACTTTTTGGGTAGCGTGCATCTTTGTGTGTTTAACGCTTTCGACTCATGGTGACCCTATGAATTAGTGACCTCCAAAGCGTTCTGTCATTAACATCCGTGCTCGGGTCTTGCAAGCTGAAGGCTGTGGCTTCCTTTGAGTCAGTCCACCTCAAGTTGGGTTTCACTCTTTTCCTCTCCTGTCTTTAACTTTTCCCTTCTTCTTCCTCTTCCTCCTCCATTTATCCAATCCCCTCTTGAAGCTGTCCATGCTTGTAGCCACCATGAAGTTGGCAAAATTGCTGTATTGACGGCTGCCGCCAAAGCAGCCTTTTTAAAAATCTGCACACCCAATCAGAAGCCTCACTGGGCAAAAACCCTCTTCCTCCTCTTCTTCCTCTTCTTCCCCGTCCCCTTCCTCCTCCTCTTCTTCCTCTTCCTCTTCCTCCTCTTCTTCCTCTTCTTTCCCATCCCCTTCCTCCTCCTCATCTTCTTCCTCTTCCTCTTCTTCTCCTCCCTCTTCTTCTTCTCCTTCCTCTTCTCCTTCCTCCCTCTTTCTCCTCTTTCTCCTCTTCCTCCTCTTCCTCCTCTTCCTCCTCTTCCTCTTCTTCTTCCTCTTCCCCCTCCTCCATTTATGCAATCCCCTCTTGAAGCTGTCCATGCTTGTAGCCACCATGAAGTTGGCAAAATTGCTGTATTGACGGCTGCCGCCAAAGCAGCCTTTTTAAAAATCTGCACACCCAATCAGAAGCCTCACTGGGCAAAAACCCTACTTGGCCCCACCCACGTTCTAAAAACACTTGTTGCTGGGCCGTGTGGTGCACGTGGGCACCTCGTTGGAGACCCCTGTCCTAACCAATGTAATCCTCACCACCGGGGGAGTAAAAATAATCAACTTTCAACTCTATGGTATGCCTGTGTTCAATAGGATTAAGGACTAAATCATGCATGGCTTCCTCTGCCTGAAGTAGTTTCCTCAGCTCGTATCACGCACAGGATTCCAGTCATATTGTAACTATGTCTTAGGGGGGAAATGTTTGTGAACAGTAGGCGTTGGGGCTCTGGCTACTGCTGGGGGGTTTGAATACAGAATTAACAACACAGGTCCTCTTAAGAGGTGTCGGGTTGCTAGTATAAGGCCGCTTCTCTGAAAGATCCTGGGAATTATAGACCCTGTCAGCTTGTCCCAGATCAATTGGCAGAAAAGCGAGAATCGTTACATGCCGAAAATGAACTTTGCTGAGGACACGTCCTTGACTTTGGTGAAGGGAAGTTGCCTTGCCAACCTTCTAAGAGAGGAGTTTTTTTAGCGTGTTGATAAATAACATTGAGGTAAGTTAGGCTGAGAGCATGTGAATCACTCGGGGACCTTCCATGGAGAGGATGTTTGTTTGAACAGGCAATAACAATATTTTCAAATCCGGTACTAATACAGATTGACTGCAATATCCTTTAAATTCCAATCACCGTAATAAGTGTGTCCTCAAAGAACAGCTACAAACGCTCATCGCCAGCCGGTTCCGCGCTCACTCCATTTTCCTCCTTAATAAAGGTCAGAAAATGAAGTGCTATAAAAGCTCCATTATTTTTCGATTGACAGCCCCTGATAATTTCTCCTATTGAAATCTCTGGCTTGAAGTTCTTGTGCTCTGCTGGCTAGTACACTACGGCCGGGCTGCGTGCACGGCAAACCCTGTTTGCTTTTATGCTTTTCTTTCACGAGGTTCATTCGCACACACACACCCCCTTGTACTGTGCCCCATAAAAATGATATTGGAAAGGTTATCACTTAGAGGAGGGCGGAGAGTAGTGGGTAGGACTAACAATAATGTGTTCCAGGGCTTTTTTTTCCTGGAGGAATGTGCCGGAACGGAGTTCTGGAATCTTTTCGACACAGTGCTTTAAAAGTTTGTGAGTTTTCAGTATACCGACTAAAAACTTCATTTCCATCTTTGAGATTTCCAGCACCTCTTTCAAAATAATAATAATAAAAAAACCCCAAAACCCCCGATGGGTCTAAATTACGGGTGGAAAGATACCAGGTGTAAGAGTTGTGCAGCAGTGGAATGGGCTGCCTCGGGAGGTGCTGAGCTCCCCCTCCCTGGCAGCCTTCAGGAAGCGTCGGGACGAACACGCGTCAGGGATGCTTTGGACTGATCCTACCTTGAGCAGGGGGGTCAGACTAGATGGCCTCTGGGAGCCCTTCCAACCCTAATTCTATGACAAGTGTGCAGTGACTCATGACGAACCACATTGCAAGAAACGTTGTGTTGATCTTTAAAGTGTCACTGGACATTTTGCTTTATTGTGATTCTCTGCCAGCAACCCTGAAGAAATCACATCCCCTGGATGATTTTGGTTACTCACAGTCACAGGCAGTGTTCATAAGAACATAAGAGACGCCAATGTTGGATCAGGCCAAAGGCCCATCCAGTCCAACACTCTGTGTCACACAGTGGCCAGAAATACCAGGTGCCATCAGGAGGTCCACCAGAGGGGCCAGGACATTAGAAGCCCTCCCACTGTTGACCCCCCCCAAGCACCAAGAAGACAGAGCATCACTTGCATCACTTGCTGCCAGCCCGAGTTTACGATACTGACTTTGAGGGACCAGTGCTCTAATTCAGAAGGCAGCTTCCTATGTGCCAGGTCTGCCACTGCAAAGACCCGAACTGCTGGGAGTCGAACAGGGCCACCTGGGCAGCCATGAAACGGAAGGTGGGGTATTAATCCAATCTCTTCTTAATTTTTCTTCTTGACATCACGCCAACATGTGACATCACTTCTGGTGAAAAACCAGAAGTAACATCATCAAACCAGGATGAGAACCTCAGTTTCACCTGAAACGCTATAGAGGTGAAACTGGAAGGGACATCATCACAATCATCCCAGAGTGACTCTCTTGGATTCATCCAAAACTCTATAGTTTGAGTTTCGGATGAATCCAAGAGAGTCACTCTGGGATGATTGTGATGATGTCCCTTCCAGTTAAACTATAGAGCTTTGGATGAATCCAAGAGAGTCACTCTGGGATGATTGTGATGACGTCCCTTCCAGGGCTGTTGGTGTGTGGGGTTTTTCTTGCCAGAAATGACACTAGCAAGGACACCCCTTAAGAACATAAGAGACGCCAATGTTGGATCAGGCCAAAGGCCCATCCAGTCCAACATTCTGTGTCACACAGTGGCCAGAAACACCAGGTGCCATCAGGAGGTTCTCTCTAGGCTGAGTTAGTGTGAGTTAGCACATACTGTAATCTGGGAGAACTGGGCTTGATTCCCTACTCCTCCACATGCAGTTGATGGTGTGACCTTGGGTCAGTCACAAGTTCTTTCAGAGCTGTTCTCTCAAGGGCAGTTCTCCGGAGAGCTCTCTCGGCCCCACCTACCTCACAGGCAATGTTCCCTCTAAGCTGAGTTAGTGTGAGCTAGCTCACGGTTTATTGGCCTCTGGCTCACACATTTTTTTCTTAGCTCAGGAAGGATGGCACCAGAACAAACTAATTTATGCAATAGCCAAATCGCTTGCTCACAACTTTAGTGCCGGTAGCTCACAAAGTAAAATTTTTGCTCACAAGACTTCACAGCTTAGA